CACGTTTTTCCGCGAGTATTGGCAATTGAATCACATTGTCAACAAAAAAACAGTCTTGAAGACGTAAGGCAAGGTACTTATCTTTCTTGAAGGAGGGCGCACACTCTCGAACAGCAAAGTTTGTTGAAAGCAATGAATTGAATATTGAATTATTGATGGATTAGGGGAATCCATTTTAACAATCGAAAAGAAATTACGCAGGAAATTGCACCGTTAATGCCATATCCATAGCAGTAAGTCTGCCATTTCATTTATATGGAATTCTTCTTCTTAATCAATATAGAATTCTACTACCATTCTCGACTGTCACCAATCCTCAAGAAATGCTACTTGAAATCCATACATCTTTAGCTGATTCAAACAGATTTACCATGTCTGTCTGCAAAACCACCACACCGCCACACCACTACGCTACACCATACATTACAAATATAAGTTTCGCCTCAAGACAAATATAGATTTATTACCTGTTTTGTAAAAATGGATATGGAATAGATAGTGCGGAAATGTATTAAAATACATTTGATATACCGCCTACACGACTCAGATTGAAATGAGACACGTTTGTCTCTCTCTCTCTCAATTATTACTGCGGCAAAGAAACGCATTTGTATACAATACATACTCTTACAACTATATAAACAAAAGATTAGAAAATCACATACATATATTAAGTCCAATTTGACGATGATCACGATGACGGTTACAAAGATAATGACGAGGGCGATTATGTTCGCGTTAATTGTTTGACACGCAGTCACTAACCATGCAAAAGCGCACAAAAACTCATATTCTTGCCCTCTCTTGTTAATGAAAAAATGATGCGAACACACCACAAATAGAAAACTTTTCGCTACTGTTTAATATAACTCACACTTACTTTCGCGTTCAAGCGTACACAGAGTTTATAAAAGCAAATAAAAATATAATAAAATAAGAAGAAGGAAAGAAAATTAACAATTCATACCGCAGATGATCTGATGCACAAGTAACAAACTTTGCAAAATTTACCGAACGTCACAACAAGAGATGACTGCGAGCTTCAATCACGGAAAGCGCAACAATTTCGAAGCAATTAGTTATTTAAACTATTTGGCCCAAATTGTTTGCAAAATTTTATAAAGTTGATGTCAATTTAGTTATTGTTGGGAATTAATTCAGTTTGCTTAACTATAAACTTTCTTCTTGTCTTTCCCTCTTGCCGTATAGTCATTGATTGAACATTTGCTTTTTTGCCTTACGGTATTTGCGCTAAGCAATTGGCTCTAGTCTATTATATCATATGTCTGAGTGTTTTGTTAACCTGCCCTTTTTGATGTCTTAAGCTCTATACCACGTACGCACACGAAAAACAAATAAGATCAAGCTTTGTGGCGGTTCAGTGTTTAGTTCAACATTTTAGATAAACTGACTTCATGCATAAAAGATGCCCTGACTCTCTCGATTCCGCTCGATTCCGATATTAGTAATAAAACTGTGTTTCGCTGCTTGTATGTGGTAGTCGTAGCTCTTTCACAGCATTCCGATATTCACCATTAAAAGTAAACGATATTTATTCGCTATCCTTCCGAGACACCCTTACGCTGCGGACAGTGGAACAAACATCAACGAATATTTTTAAAGAATGATTGAAGGCACGAATGATTGAATGACACTCTTTCTGTTTCAATAAATTTTTTTCTTGTCGCGAACGTACGGTCGCTTAGTGTAACAGGTAGAAACAGATGTCAGAGATACATGTTCGTCTATCATTTTCTTCGCCAATTGGTTGCCAATATCACTCATCGCCCCCCACAACACATGTACAGTACTGAAGTAACTGCACTAAAAATAGAAAAATTGAAAACCAACGCAAAAGCAATGGAAATATTTATTAAAGTCTAAACGGACAAATCGTAACGCCTTGAGGGAAAAAAGAAAACAAAAACATATATCGTACGTTAGCTTGGGCAATTGGATTGATGGGCGTGAATATCCCAACGTGATTCCAATGCAATGCGAATGCAACTTTACATGAATGTTTGTTAATTGCGATAAATGGGAAAGAAAATTTTATTGGTCCGTGACCGTCATGACGTCAGCGATATCTAATTTGGAATTAAAGCACTTAGCTTTTAGTCAAATTCTACTCTCCAAGCCTCTCTATTTGATAACCAATTGATTGTATTGATAGTTCGGGGAAACGGATCGACCACATTATAGGCTCCACCATATTTACTTTAGAATTGACATACTTTTCCACGGATAATGTATCCGAATAATAATTTTCAACATTCTGCCTTGTTTAGCTTATGAGTAGTAAGCAGAAGAAGTTATTTATAAGTTAATGGAGGCCTGTACAAGTGCTGCAAGATCACCCATAGATTATACATGCACCGTTTTTATAGTTGCTGTAGCTGCAGGTTATAAGAAAGCAGCAAAAAAGAGAATATGTTTTTATATTAGAAGAAAGTAGTAGTCTCAGACTATCTTGTACTGTGACCGATTTGTCCCATTTCTGTCCAATATCTAAGCTACGTGCAAGAATTTCCAATGTTTTTGCCGAGTTTGAAGCTTTTAGTTCCATTTTTGCGACGACAAGAGCATCTACCACAGACAGAGAGATAGATCGACATGCTTAAATCGGTTTAAAATTTAATGCTGATCAAGTATATAAATATTTCATGGGCATATGAAGCTTCCTTTCTGAATATTGCAAATTTGGTTTTGATAAAATGGATAAGACGCCCTTCATTGTTCGGTGATGGTGATGGGTATAAGAATGAATTTAATTTCAATTATTTTTCGACCTGCATCGACATTCATATTTTCAATACTAGCAGCATTCTTTGTCGCGAGCATAACAACATAGAACTGTAATGTCATTTTGAGGCAAAATGACAAAATATTATTAAGGTATTTACACTTCGAGTAGGGTGTTTTAGGACTCTTCAGAGAAGGGTAAAACAATTTTTAAAAACCGGCTATTATTTTTATGAAAGAAGAAAAAAATAACGAAAAAAGATTAGTCATATATGAAAATCTCGTATTGAACACGAGTAATCATTACAATGATTTACTTCTTGGCACGATATGCTTCATCAACTATACACAGAGGTCAGAGAAGGTAACAAATTTAATATCGATTTCGTTATCAATTTTTAATCTTACGATATATATTAGATAAAGTCTTGTCCTTTGGATCCATTATTTTGCAATGAAACGCGGCTTAAGCCTCATGCAATTAGAATGAACATTGATTGATATAAGAGAAGAACCGAGTGTGCACTATATCTCCATTTCGTTTGAAATGTGACTCATGCGAAGCGACGATGCTGCTGCTAAATTAGAAAATAAATATGTAAAATGAACAATTAAGACGTAGACACATCGATTAGAAGTCGTAAACGAAGGAGCAACGTCTGCCCACAGGCGCAAGAATGAGAAATTATGAAACTGTTCCACGCTTGCGCACTTGTCGTTCCCAAGCAAACAACCCTGTTCGTCTATACGGCGAAAATCGGTTTTACAAGTTAACGTAATGACAATGATTAGATGAATAGAAGAAGCATAAGCTAAATTCATACAAAATTAGACAATTTTGCTGTTAATGATTTCGAAAGCTTCTATGCAATCCGAATAGGAGCAATAAGGGTTTAAAATGAGTTGGAAATTTCATCTTGTGCATTGACGCAATGGAAAACGAAAGAAACATTATATTGATTTTTTAACTTCGAAAAGCCAAGCTAAAGAAAAAGGCATTTTAGCTAAATAACAAATTGTCCACAAATAACTCACAGCTTCTGCACATACAATCAAATCATATATACACGTCGATTACCTACGTTTACGTTCGCATTGTGTGCATGTATATATATATATATATATATATATGTAAGCATGACAACAAACAGAACACTAACACATAAACTTAGTTAAACTTGCTAAACCAGTTGAACGGCGAATTGAAAATAAAACTCTCAACTCGAAGCTTCAACAACTACAACAACGAAACGAGGGGAAAAATATTTAAAAAGAAAAAAAAAAAAATTCTCAACGGAGTGATAATTTAATTTTTCCCAAAATGGTAATCAGATTTCAATCTTAATTAATTAAGAAATATTTTTTGTCGGCAGGCATCTCTAGGCCAGGATGTGAATATCAGTAGTTTCGATTTACGTGGGATTTCGTTCATATAAACGTACTTGATTTGTTCGCCTGCCCACCTGATGGTCAACATTCGTATTGAGTCTATTCAGTTTACTCAAAATTTTTTCCTCTTTAATTTGGACATATTGACATATACACGCACTCCCACATGGGTCCATTGTCCCACTCCCACTGGTGGATAAATACTATATCATTCCGAGTACAATTTGTAAAAGGACCAAAGGAAAAGTTATTCATTTTTTATTTCCAGTTTTCAATCCATCAACTACGAACATCATCAAAGAAAATTAAGAGTTTGCTAGGAAACTAATCAACAACACTAAACTAAAATAAACCTAACGTGGTAAACAATAATTCTTTATTACATTATAGCAACAAAGAAAATTATTGGACTTCAAGATGGCGAATAAGACTACGATACGTAAGGTAGTTGAAAAGTCATTCAAATCAAATCAAAGATCGCTGAACACCTCATATTTCCCTCCATACTCTTTTCCCTTCTCCTTTGTTGTCATGACATTTCCGATGTTCGCATGCGACATGTTCTGCAAGCAACGTGAAATACTCTTAATAATCTCGCATATACGTTCTGTACTTCTTCAACTTTAGAATTCAGTAAAATTGCAACTTTGCCGAAACTTTCTATTAAAAAATAGTTCTGGAAAGTAAGAGCATGCCACCAGCAACCCATTGACCAATCGACATATGGATAAGTTATTATTATTATGAATCAGGGCTAATTCACACTTTTTCTTCGACATTATTTGATGAGTCAACACGACAACTTCTTAACTCATAACAACGCTTTTAAAAAGTGAATGATATGTAGAAAAAGAGGTTCATACACTTACCCATAGCTCAGTACCCCAACTCATGTTGGAACTATCTGCTGAATCGCCCGCCACTTTGGAAACTCAAATGTCAGTTATCCACGAACAATCCAATACTCAAAGTAATCCACAGTAATAAGGAAAGAACGGGTTAGATTAATATCAAGTACGCGGTGGTGGCAACACTGCCACCAATTATGTTTAACCACAATTAACGAAAATGCGGACTTGACAAGATCTTGGCTTTTAAATAATTTTTCTATAGAAAAAATACATCACAAATAAGTTACCAAATTCAAAAATAATTGTGATTTTTTTTTCGAGTGACTATGTCAAATTACGGGCGATACAATATATAATGTACTATAGGATATAAAGGAAACGCGAGATATAAATTTCCGAGCTTATTAGAAAAAATCGGAGTAAATTAATATAAAAAATAAGTAGTTAACAGGGATCAAATGGAACACAAAACGTTGTGAAATAAATTTTTTTTTTTAAATCCGCTAAACCATATATAAGACGCGTTCGCGCACACACGCACATGCCATGATAAGCAGTCGCAGACCGAAGAGTAATTAAGTGCACAACAACAACAAGAATAATAATATAAATGCAATTAATATATTAAAGTATATGTTGTATATTGCCTTCGATACTAAATATGAAGTATTCGGAAATATGAAGGAAAAAGAACGACAAGAGAAAATATTTATTTTCTTATTTACTTGCTAAGTTTTTTCTTTACTGAAAGTTTTGTTTTATTCACATTTTTGTTTTTAGATAAAATGATAAACCGGAACAAATAGAATTGAATGCAAGCAAATCGAGAATCGAGAGAGAGAGAGAGAAATTGGGAGAAATAGCAAAATGAATACATACAGTTGTACGTATTTTTTGTAATGCTGACGTTAATATATATTGGCGTTGCAGGTGCTGCAAACAAATTTTCATGAAAATTTTACTTGTACACTCGACAGCACATCAAAAGAATGTGTATGTGGTGAGTGCTGCTACTACTCTATAGAGTGTAAAGCAATTTTAATTCAATTATCTCCACATTAAGCATACAGTTCTTAACTATTTCTATAATTTATTACTTCTCTACCGATCTTTTATAATTACTTGCACATTCTTTTTTTTTTTTTTGCGCAATTTTGTACACAAACGCTGTTTGTTTTTATTGACTGCAATTGCTGTTCACTTCTATTTAACACAACTTTGTTTTCCTTTTCACGACTGACTATTATTTTATTTCCTCGGCTCGGATATTTTCAGTTTCAATGAAATTAGCACTTTTTGTACATGTCAGGAGAATTTCCATTGAAAAAGCAGACGACACCATTTTCCAGTTCCTCGCATAAAAAAATCAAGTTTATTTCCAATTGAGGACATGCATATATGTCCTCTCCCTTTCTTTTTAAAGAACCACCATAATTTTGAACATATTATGTCCTGCTTTTTTTATTTATTTTTCTTAAGACATGGCATTCATTCCTTTTTGGAAATACTTTTCTGCTTGAAAAGCAGAAAAATTTGTTTTAGTCATACACAAAAATCCTCGCTCCGAAATTTAAAATCAATTCGTATACTTATTCCGCACTAATCTTTCCCGTAATATTCCGTATTTCTAGCTCTTCGCTCTTCATGAAAACTAATGAAACGATTTGAATGCATGCACACCACTCTTTCTGATTCTCACTTTTTCTCGTTCGCTCATTCATTCGTTTTGACTCATATTCTTTTTATTTCGCTCATGTCCGCGCAATGCTTGCAGTTACGGTGACCAGACGAAACGAATTTTTACGTATTTATATATTTTTAATGTATTTCGCAAATATATTATTAAATACAATAATAATAATAATAAAATAATTTATTTCTGGAAATGGAAGAAAAAATTTATTTTAAGATTATATATATATCGTCCCAAATTTATAAAGTTGTAATCTGGTCATCTTAATTCCCTGTATTTAAAAAACAGAAAACTATGTGCGAATATTACTTTGTTATGTTGCGTTTATATAAGCAATCAAAGTAACTGAACTGAGTTTGCATAGGCAATAAGTTTACTTTTTGTATATTTTGTATTAATAATTTCCTCTTTAACGATTTGTTTATAAAAAAGAACATATAACAGCAGATTGAAAAATTAATCGTTTTATTATATTAGTTCTTATATTTTCAGTGTCTTTAATAATATTAATTAGCAGTGGTTAAATACATTGAATAAAAATGTGAAATATTTGAATGCTTGAACATCTGAAACTTAACTACATTGACTGCTTTATCTAATCGAATTGGGGAATATTAAATTACGGGAAATGAAATTATATATTTTATTTAAGTATAATGAGAAATGATTTTATTATAATATTAATTAGAACTTTAGTTATATTAATTATATTAGTATTTTTAGTTTATTTATTAACTCGATTTCATTTCATTTAAAAGACGGGGTAATTTTTTATTATTATTTTTAGCATTAACAACAAATCATAAATTAGATTTAAAAAAAATTATTCCTTAAAACAGTCAAGGTTAAGATAGTTAAGCTTAATAAGATGGGTAAGATAGGTAATATTAAAAAGATTAAAAAGAATAAAAGGACTATTATTTATGAGAGTTAAATGAATAATTTTTCTTTTCTCCTATAATACTATTATATGTTTGTACTTAAAAATTTTAAATTAATAACCTTCAACAGTGAATGTGTGATAGGTTATATTATTTCTCATGTAACATTATTTTTTTTTAAATAAGTCTATATTTTTATATAAGTGATTTCAGTATTTTATTTATTGATGTATATATAGATAGAGTAAGTGATTTAGGTAATCTTTTATTATTAATTTAATGCGTGAATTTTTAAAAAAATCGTTTTTAAAATATAAAAAGAAATAATTTGTTTACAGAAACAAATGTGATGAAAAAAAATTTTATTTTCAGCAAAGTCAAAAAAGATATTCATAAGAAGTGTATAGGAAAGCAAATTTAACTCTCAGAAATAGAATTTATTTCTCAGCAAATATAAATAATAATTTAGTTTATTTTTGTTCAAGATAGTGTTGCCAAGCCTATAAAACTATCCCGAACAATAAGATAAGATTACCATTAGTTATCAGGAGAACAATTTATGGAAGTTGCACACATATATTATTAAACATTCCACGAAACCTTGTAACATATTTTACTCATCTATATTCAACAAATAATGGGATATCAGATCGATATAATATCGAAGTAACACATAATTATATGCAATAATGTATGAAGTCTTGATATGTAGCCATCACATAGTTATACTGGTTGCATTTACCCTACTCCATATTTTCCGTGTTACCTCATTTGTATTTTACCCACTTCTTTCGTTCTTTCCTCTGTCTCTGCCACCACCTCTCTTCATCTGCTTTGTAGTCCCACAATAATTCCGACAATAATTTAATTGCGTTAATAATGTGCACTCCCGATGTATCAGTGTGTGAATATGAATATACTCATTAATTGTTTCATGACAATGATCTAATTTTGTTTCTTATTAGATAAAGGCTTGTAGCATCCAGCTAGGACTTCGATTTAGTCGCAATCTTCTATTTAACACGTCCCGTTCTTCAATACATAAACCTTTCGTCAAAAAGTTATAAATCTGCCATTCCTTCAGAACATATATAAAAGTTCGAATCCTCGAAAATATAGGGAAATATCGAAACAATCAAAGCGAACTCTTGACAATTGACGAGGAAACATTCGACAAATCAAACCGTTGATATTGCAAACAAAAATTGAACCAATCAAAGGCTCACTTCGAGCCTTTGTCGTTTTCTCGACTTCATACATTCTCTATTAAAAATAATAACAGCAGGTTGCTGCACCATACTTATTCAACGGTAAAGTAAAATATCGTTTATTGTTAACGCAAGGAAATCAATTGATGGCGTAAAACAATTGTGTTTGGAGGATACACTTTAATCCGTGTTCGCAAATACATGGATAATTTTAATGCAATTAATGCGGCCTACCCTCAACTCGATAAAATAAGTTTTAATAGATAAATTTTTTTTTTGTTTACCTTACCCGATACTTTTAAGTAAATGTACATTTTTAGAGTAAAAACTGTCAAATAAAAATAATAAGGCTCGGTACTGTTAGTAGAGAATAATGTATAGTGTATATTCTTATACATATTTTTTAGAGATCGGAATAGCTTTTTATTTGTTTTTCGGCGTTGTTCGAATAAGATTTTATAGGTTTTGTACCTTTCGTAAAATTGGAATACAATTTCGTATGACATATATAAATCTTAACGTCACATATAATCCACAACATGCTGTTCTCTCTCTCTCTCTCTCGCTTTCTCTTTCTCTATCTGCTATATTGTGGATTCTGGGCGGTCAACTTGTGGAAGTTGTGCGAACTGGGCGGCTAACTTGTGGAATCTGTGGGAACTGGGCGGCGGACTTGTAGAATTTGTGGAAACTTGGCGGTCAACTTGTGGAATTTGTGGGAACTGGGTGGTCAACTTTTCGAATTTGTGGGAACTGGGCGGCGAACTTGTGGGAACCTAGTTTATTAGAGTTGCCAAAGTTCGCCTTTGCAGATGTATCAAGGCATTGGAGTTTGTTGCTCTGAAATTAGCGTATAAAATACTTTACAACAGAAAATTAATTGAACACATAGCTTGCATGCGTTTCTAAAGCAATATCAACGTATAGAAGACAAATCGAAAAGTTTCCTTACAAAGTAATTTTTTAAAGCAAATTATGAATAGAAAGAAAAAATATTTAGCTTTCGAAAGCAGAAGACAATTATAACTGCTTTTGGTAAGTTCCAATAATAGTTGAGAATATAATATTTGCAACTAATTAATAATCTTTACTTTACATAATTCTACAATAATGCAAAGATTTCGTTGTCCACCAGAATATGTTGATTGTGAAGAAAACGGTATGGCAAAAAGCGAATTATGGGAAGTGAACACACGCCGCGCAGAGCTGCAAGCTTCTCGGGAAATAATCTTGCGGCCATTCAAGTTTACTTAAGCAGTAAATGAAATGAAAATGAACAAAAAAAAACATAGAATTCATTTATAATGTAAAATATAAAATCTTATATTCATTTACATTGAAAAAGACTACAAATCTCCCTATACATTTCTAATTCAATTTGTTTTTAATCTGCACCCTGCAATCCCCTAAGAGACCCGTAGCATCACAGAATTTCCATTTGACTTTGGAGGGATAGCATTGCACGTATATTGCATTCAAGTATTTCTACCATAACTTTCGTGGGTTGAGCACGGGAAAGAAGTAATGGAAGGTTGGAAGGAAAGCATCGGTAGTTAAGCTAGAAAGATAAACGGTCCAATATCACGGTCTCCACTGAATCGGCCATACGGTAAAAGGAAAATATAATGGCACCGATGGCATAAAAAATAAACAATAAATAAAAAATTTACACACGAATTAGATATTTGACAAATCTCAAAATTATAAATATGTAAAGCTTTTGTGCCTTTGTAAGTATATTCAACTATTGTTTACACTTCAAATGTAGAACCATACGTGTTTGTTGCTGTAAATCTGGTATCATGTGTGACGTGATGTAAACGTCATGTGAATTTGAATTTGGTTTGCGTCTTGTAGAATATTTAAAAAATACAGTACCAGGTTCTTGTATCTGCTGATACGAAGTTTGGACAGCATTGATCATAAGAAGGCATTTTCAATCGTCAGAAGATTTGTGATTGGTTCGGCTGTCATCGCTGCACCCACCTGGCAGTAAATTTTGTATTCTGGAGTATAAATACCAACAAACTTTTTTATGAGTTTTTACATCATGTTGACCTAAACCAGGGTAGTTAACTTACAAAAATTCCAAAATGAAATTTAACAAAAAAAAAAAACTATGCAGCGTTAAAAGGAAGAAGCAAACTAAAGGTAAATTATTAATACAATAATTTAATATAATAGTCTTCATTCCTATTCTAATATATTAGCCAACTTTTCCTCAGCAACTGAATGAAATTGACTACTAAATAAAATAAGCGAAAATACCATTGCTTATTTTCGACAAAATGCATGAATATATTACAAATATTTTTTCAATCATTTTCTATACCCATTATTTTATATTTGCCATCAGTTTTTAAAAATTTACGCCTTATACCGTTCTACAAAGCTTTGTTATTACAATGAAAATGCTCAGTGACCTGCTGATTATTTGAATTATTGAATTTTCTTTTTGGAAAAATGTGATTGCTATGTTGTTAATGCTGTCAAACTTCAAAAAGAAACCGAATTACTCTTTACAACACTGTTTTGAAATTTTGACTTTGATTTCTTTACTTTTACTCAAACTGTTATCGATTAACTACAGGCGATTTTTTTGTCAAACCTTCTTTTGGATTTACGACGTGAATTTGGTGTGCGTGTCTTGTGTTTCTAGTAGAGGTTTTATAAATTTTCTAATTAAACCTTATAAAATTTTTTTCAAAAATGGCGAAAAAGAAAAGTGAAGAATCGCCGGCAGAAGGAGATGTTGAAGATGAACCCAATTTTGAAGACCCCGAGGGATATGTTGATGATATTAGTGATGAAGGTGAGTGTTAACAGCAGACATAACCTTAAAAATACGTATATGTATACATATATATATACATATATATATATATATTTGTTCAGAATTGTTAGCCGATAAACTGGCTCAGCGACCATCAGAAGCGGATGGCGTTGAAAGTGTCGTGGTGGTAGATAATATACCTAAAGTGGAACCATCGCGTTTAGAAAAATTGAAAGCGGTCATCAGTAAGATATTCGCTAACGTTGGGGAGATTGTTAATGCAGTCTATCCAACTGACGAAGAGGGCAAAACAAAAGGTTACGCCTTCATGGAGTTTAAAAATGCAGCGCAAGCTGAAGATATTGTAGAGAAGTTCAATAATCATCGTCTAGACAAGTGTCATACGTTGGCTGTGAATTTGTTCACAGATTTTCAAAAATATAAAAATATACCAGATAAATGGGAGCCGCCCACACCGCAACCATTTAAGATACAAAATGATCTTTACAGTTTCCTAATGGATCCAGATGCTTACGATCAGTATTGTGTGGCTGCTGAAACTGCTCCCAATAGCGTTCAGGTGGCTTTTTGGCAGAATACTTTGCCTGAACCGACAGAGTTGGAGACTCGGGAAAGTTTTACGGATACATTTGTGAAGTGGTCGCCGCTGGGCACATACGTGGTGACATTCCACAAACCGGGTGTGGCCATTTGGGGCGGTAGTAAATTCACCAGAATACAGAGATTTCCTCATCCAGGTACGCAATTTGTAGAATTCTCACCCTGCGAAAATTATTTGGTCACCTATGGGCCTACGCCAACTGGACAAAAAGTTATTATATGGGACATACGCTCGGGAGCGGAAAAGCGGTCATTCGTAGCGGATGGTATGTCTATGCTCTCAATGTTCCGTTGGTCTCATGATGACAAGTACGTGGCTCGTCTGGGCGACAATTCAATACACATCTACGAGACGCCCTTGTTTTATTTGTTGGATTTAAAGTCGATTAAAATACCCGGAATACGTGGTTTTTCATGGTCTCCGACTGATAATGTCATTGCGTATTGGGTAGAAGAGCAAAATCAAATACCTGCTCGTGTAACCCTTATGGAGATTCCGAAAAAGCGAGAAATACGCAATAAAAACCTCTTCCATGTCGCCGACAGTAAACTGCACTGGCAGAAGTCTGGTGATTACTTGTGCGTGAAAGTAGATCGATATATGAAATTGAAAAAGGACAAAAAGGATTGCGACGTCAAGTTTTTGGGTATGTTTTACAACTTTGAAATATTCCATATGCGTGAAAAAGAGATACCTGTGGATTCAGTTGAAATACGTGAGCTCATTTTGTCGTTTGCTTGGGAGCCTATAGGCAACAAGTTCGCCATTATACATGGCGAAGCGAATAATTCTAATGTGAGCTTTTACGAAGTTAGTGATGGCGTAAAGCCCACACTTGTAAAAAAATTGGAAAAGAAATCCTGTACGCATTTGTTTTGGTCGCCTAGAGGGAAGTTTATTGTTATGGCCAATCTGACTATGGGAACTTTTGAGTTTGTTGATACTAGCAATAATTTTCTAATAACCGCTTCTCCTGATCATTTCCGGGCTTCTGAAGTTGAGTGGGATCCTACGGGGCGTTATGTAGTTACGGGTGTATCGTCATGGAAAGTTAAAGAGGATACCGGTTTTAATATGTACACTTTCCAAGGCCGCATAATTCGACGAAATATACTAAAGAATTTTGTGCAATTCTTATGGCGCCCTCGACCTGCTACTCTGCTAACTGAAGAGGAGCAAAAGGAAATATATAAAAGTTTAAAGAAATATTACGCGATTTTCGAGCAAAAGGATCGTTTACGTTTAACGCGAGCCAGCAAGGAATTACTAGAAAAGCGAGCCCAGTTGCGTGAGCAATTCTTGGAGTACCGCAACAAACGTGTTGTCGAATGGAAGGACCAGAAACAAAGACGTTTGCAACTTAGAAATCGTAAGCGATAAAATTATTAATAATTTTTAAATAAATTTTCTTTATCTATTTTCTTTTTGTGTTAAACTTACAGTGATCGATACAGATAATTTGGAGACCGAAGAAGTGGATGAAGAGGTTGTCGAATTTCTGGTTAAAGAAGAAATTACATTGCTCGAGTAATTCGCTTAAAATTTAACAGTGATTCGAACTCTTTTCCAACATAGTTTAAATAAGCGTCTATTAGTCACCAACTTTGAGAAACTTTTCTGTCATTAAATTCTGTTTATCTATAAATTCAACTGTGTTGGAAAAGAAACCGATTTTTTATTTTAATAAATTTTTTTTTTTTTTTTTTTTTTTTTTTTTTATTAATGATTAAGAAAAACCGTGTACTCTCTCTTTTTTATCATAAATTATTGAATCAAACAGAAGGAACGTAGATTTTTTTTATATTTAATGAGGGCAAGCTTTGTTACCTTACAAAGAACTGTAGCCAAGTATTTGGAATAATATCATTCTTGAACTATATACTGAAGGCAAATAAATACATAATTGGACTGCAGCAGAAATAAATGAAATTGATTTTATTACATCGCGATAAGCCGGCCAAATTTATTGATAAGCCAATTAATTACCGTAGTGTTGTAAATTTTGAGTCACACCACCTTCATAGGCGGAATTCGTGCAATTATTAATTTGAATTTTAACGAAACACATTGCATTTTGTAAGAGGAATGTCGCATACACTCAAGGAATCATTGCAAATAGTTCAACGTTATTTTCGAAGGCTCTACGTACTCTACGAACTTAATACCTACTTGTCGATGTGCGAGCCCTGGGAAAAGCTATTCCTAAGTAAGCTGACGAAAATCCATCGGGAAAATCACTTAATAATGTTCATTACATTGAATAATAATTGCAGATATTTTGTTCGGTGTATGTTTGTGGTCGATCGCTTATTTCATCCGCTTAAATATCAAACACATACTAAGCAAATTTGCAGAAGACTAAAAAGAAGTAAAAGAAGCATGATCCATAAAACAAATGATCCTCGTGTTTTTTATTTATTTATTTTTTTTTGATTTTATTAATAAATGATTCGGATGAAACAGTAACTTATTAATGGATAAAAATATAAATGAAATATGAAAAAGGAAAAATAATAAATAAGAAAAACTTTGTTCACATGAAAGTGATTTTCGTACGACCCATATTCACTTGCCACACGTTAAGCTCCTCATAGTCTTCGATGCATTTATCCACTTGGTCTGGCTTGAAGCCCTTGTTAGCGCACCGATCCATAATATCTGCGATTTTTACGGTATTGCTATTACCGGCCAATTCACGAACAGCAGCAAAAATTCTGTCCGATGTAGTTGGTATACTAACATAAAGATCAAAACATATCTTAATAATTGCAAGACAATGTTTCTAGTCGTGATCTAATCATGAATTGCTTACCGGCCTTTTTGATGCTCGTGTATTTGATTCAGGGAATCTTTCGACATTTCGAGTAAACGTAAAGCTTCGGATACATCGTCTTTTTCGACTTTATCAGATAACCGTAGGCGGGCCAAAGCTGTCGACAAACGCAAAATGCCTAACAAATTACGAGGCGAGGTGAAGGTCATATCGTTCTGGTTACGAGCTTCACGTCTTAGTTCGACATAGGCACCGACTATGTAATCGGTAAGTTCTTCTGGTATGGCAGGATCTTTGCGTTTGCAAAGATTGATATAGCGACGCATTAGATTCATGTCCAAAGCTTTAACACGGCTAGGCGGCTGCTTGCTGTGGCTGTGTACATAAGTTATATGCTTGGCTAAACGCAAGTCGTTGTCACGATCGGGTCGATCTTGCATTAGCCATAATAAGTCAAAACGCGATAATAAGGCAGCTGGTAATTGTATATTCTGCTCCACAGTACGCTTGGGATTATAGCGTCCAAACGCGGGATTGGCTGCTGCCAATATAGATACTCTCGCATTTAATGTAGTCATAATGCCGGCTTTAGCTATGGAAATGGTCTGCTGCTCCATGACTTCATGTATGGCTGTGCGATCGTCGTCGGCCATTTTATCAAATTCATCGATACAGCAGACTCCTTGGTCCGCTAATACTAAAGCACCACCCTCTAAAATCATCTCGCCTGTTAATGGATCCTTCATAACAGCGGCAGTCAATCCAACTCCCGAAGATCCGCGTCCAGTTGTATATTGCGATCGCAGTGCTAAACGACTTATGTAACTGAGCAGTTGTGATTTAGCTACGCCCGGATCTCCCATTAAGCAAATGTTAATGTTTCCTCTGATTTTCATACCATCAGGTCGTTTATCTACGCCTCCTACTAAAAGCAATAACAAAGCCTTCTTTACATCGACATGACCGTATATTTCAGGAGCCAAACTGGTCGCCAAACGCTCATAGAAATCGTCCTGAGCAAATTCATCTAACTCTTCCGCCGTTAAATCGGCATCTTTATCAGTAATATCGTCGCTTTTATTTAGGCAAATGATCCTCTAGAGAGAAGATTCATTACCAATTTGATCAGATTCATTATTAATAAATTATAAACTTACATAGGCCTGCAAAAAAGTTTCCGATAAAAGTCCTTGTATTAACTGCCTAAAACCCGTACGCATTAAAGGCAGAAAAACGCCAGATATTAAAACATGATCGCCCGGTTGGGCTTGACGCGTCATTTCGCCCCGGCACATAATGGTCATAGTGCGCGGTATGTGACCAACAGGTACTTGATCGCTGTGTTCTTGTATTTTAAGCTCTTGAAATTTAACGAACTTTGATCCACGTGTTTGCAGATACAAACGTCCCCCGGCTTTATTCACACGACAATCGTCGGAAGGACAATCTTGAATCGGTGTGAACGACAATGAGTTCACTGGTTGATAAGTTTCTGAACCGCATCGATCACAAGTATAAGTTGCCACTACCATCATAGGCTTCACTTCCGTGGTACGAGTTACTATTCCACGTACTGTAACTAGCTTCCCTATATGTTCGGCTTTAATATCACGAATGGAATGAGCCTTTTCATGCGACGGAGGCCTAATAGCGACTTCACTAGCAATACAGAAAAATTTGAAATTAATTATAATTTTCTTTTTTTCTCCAACTAAATTTCCTACAATCTTTTCATCAACTCTGGAGGAAAGTTGTTTCTTTGATCGCGTTGTTCCATGGGATTGCGATTGCGCACTTCCATTAATAAACGATGTTCAATATAAACATCTAATGCATCCTTGGCATGAATGTCTCGCTGTTTATAATTAGGCAACATTTCGGTGATCGCATCTCCAAACATTGAAGCGTAACGCCGACAGTTGTTTATTACTGCATCGGATAGACCATCATTATATTCGGATAGATGATCCAAGTCAATGGTTAATAAGGCTTGTTCACGATGAGCCAGTTTCACCAGTTGCTGGGCGTAGATGAAAATTTTCTTACCTTCTTCATCTTCCTTACAGAATTCAGCCAGAAAAGTTTTGATGGACTCTTATCGCAAAAAGAATTACATTTATTTTATTGCAAAACATATTCCTTCAACAGTTGCTCACCTTTGTCTTGAGCGTAATCTCGACGCGCCATTATTTCTATCAATTCTTATTTAGTAAAAATTGTCCTCTTATCTCCTTGATCCAACTGCGTCAACTTGTTTTACGCGCCAAAACGAATGAGAATGTTTTTCATTGTAGCAGGGTTGCCAAGCGAATTTTTCTTTTCCATTTTTTTATAAGGTTCTGACGCAATGAAGCATATCGCATGCACCAATCGGCAAATCATATGGTTGTATATGTGTACAACAACTGGTAGTGAATTGATTTTTTTAACAGGTCCGTCGATACGAGTCTCAAATAAGAGGGCGTATTAGAATAGACTAAAATGTATAATAAATAATATTATAAAGTAAATTGTTCTTTTTTAAGCTTCTATTTACGCCCACCAATAGCTGAAGATTGAAATTTTCCCCAACTACTTATATACATAAAAGTTTGGCGCGTTCAGAAAACATTAATTTCACACATTTTACACATTGACAATTTAAGTGCCCAACGTATTATAAATTTCCGAATTCCTAACTTCATTAATTTCCAGAAATTTCCCTTCCACCAAGCATAAAGCATTCCAACTTTTTTATTGTTGCGTTGGCCATAACTTAGGCAAACCAAAGATGCGCACGTGTTTCACAGTTTGCAAGAAATGAAAGAGAAGTCTGCCAACACAAAACAGAAGCCTTATTTCTTTAGATGAAACAAGAAGAAAGACCCTTTAGAGAGCCATGGCTCAGCATTAATTACCCTACTCAATTCCATCTTACTTTGAAAGGTCGTTGTATGGGAAGCGGTCGAAAAGGTAGTCCGACCCGAACCATTTTTAATAGAGTTCATTCTTGGACCAAAACAAGTCAGTATATCAAATTTCATCATAATATATAAAAAATTTCAGCCTATAGACTGAACACATGAATACATGGACACACTTCATCCGGACAGATGGACAGAAAAGCTTAAATCGATTCAGCAAACAATGTTGAATCGATCGGTATACTACCAGGTGAATCTGTCTCAAGTCCTTCTGCGTGTTACATACGTCCGCATAAACAAAAGGAAACAAGTAAGAACATTATAGTGGGGCGACGTCGACAATTACCCACCGTTCATCACTTTACCTGGTATAGCTATTCGCTAGTTTTGATAATAATACACATTATTTTCATGCCAAGCCATAATTTTCATGAAAGTCCGCGCATCGGAAGGTTAGATTTTCTCTCCATATAGGAGCTTGTGTTTCGTGAGAATCGTTATTTGCGATGATATCCAAAAAATAGACTTACGCGGCTCAAATTCGGTAAGGTGGATTTCTTTGTCAACTTACTACTATAAGCCAATCTTCACAATGAAATAGTGGACATTCGGCCTTTTTACTGTGTAAATTTTTAGTCTCCGCAGGAACGGTTATATGAGAGGGGGTTCAAGAAATTGCCCTCCAGCCGGTCGAAAGTTTTTACATCAATTTAGAATTCCGAAATATTACTATTTAGTCACTTTTGGTGAGAAAAAGTGAAGTGATCCGAACCATTTTCAATAGCGTTCGTAAATATCGGGGTGGGTACATATCGGACAGACAGACGGACAGACAGGCGTAGATTGATTTAGAAAATGTTTCTGAACCGATAGGTATAACTAAAGGTAGGTCTAGCTTAAGCCATTCTGGGTATTACATACGTCCGCACTAACTTAATATACCCTGGGCCACAAGCGGTGTAAGGTATAAAATGCAGTGGTTTTTGTCCGTTTCCGTAAAATGTAAAATTTAACTTGAATGCTGTAGCATCTGTATTTCCTAGATATCGAGAAACAGTAGAGCCTTTCATCCAAATATAGATTATCTCGATTTTAGAGACAAACTAATAAATACTAACATTTAAAAATGCCATAGAACTCAAGCCGATGTGATATCGTGGTTGATAAAAAAGTTGGTCTTGGACACACTTCCTTATACCAGTATTGGCGCTTTCAAATCATAAGTACATTTATGGGCAGAAAATAATCACTTCAATTCACTTCGTACCACTTATGCACAAGTGAATCCCCGCCATGTCCTAGGCAATACTGCTAAGAATGCCGTTGTCCTCTTGCAGATGCGAAAACAATCCAGTTGTTCGTATATAAAGTCTTAAAAACAATAGTGTAAAAAGCATTTTCTCGTTTCTTTTTGTACCCACCACTTTAAGGCGAGGGTAAAGTCATTTTGTTTTTTTCCGTAATGTCTGTAACATCCAAAAGGAATCTTCAGAGACCATATAAAGTATATGTATTCTTGATCAGGGTGAAATTCTGAGTTGATTTAGCCATGTCTGTCCATCTGTCCATCTGTATGGTCTGTGTAGTGTGTGTTGTTGGCACTCTTCTAATCACAAAAATGAAGATACTCTCAAATTTGGTAGAAACATTGCAAGTTCCTGCACGCAGATTGGTATTGAAAATGGGCCAAATTGGTCAGAGCAGAAGCGCGTAATGGAGCGTAAACTGAACACAATTCCGTTTTTCTTAGCAAATATTTGTGGGTTTTTGCTCGTTACTCGCAAATTATTAAACTTAGAAGACTGAAATTTTCCATATTTACTTTACGCGACACTCTACTCTTTAGATCGAAAAATGAAACCAATCGGCTCTGCCCACAAAATGGGCAAATTTCAATTTGACTTTTTTGGATTTTAAAGGCTTATCTTTTATTAGAACCATTATATGGGTTGGGAGTCAAAGAAATAGACCTACGTAGTCCAAATTCGGTAAGATTAATTTTTATGTGAAATTGTTATTATGAACGAATTTTCATCAAGAAGTATTAAAAATTAAGTCATTGTACTAAATAGATATTCAATTGCCATAAGAACGTTTCACATGGCAAGAGGTTCAAACAATTGCCCTACATGAGCCAAATTTTTCGTTCTAAGCGAATGTGGCCGAGAAAATGGATCGATCTGAACCATATTCAATAGTGTTCGTCGTTGGGTCAAAACACCATAGCAAATTTAATCAAAATATTTGCAAAAATTGAGGCCTGCAGGTTGAACACAAGAATACATGGACAAACATCAGAAACACAGACGGACAGACAAAATCAGAATCAGCTCGCTGCAATAGAAGGCGAGTGCACGTTAAGTCAAGTGATGTAGGTTATGAAAAGGAAAAGAAAATCGGAAATTTTCTGTGCCTTTGTCTTATGATCTGATTTTGATTTTAAGATCAAATAAAACAACAAAATGATCATTAAATTTTTTTTTTATTTAATCGCAGTTCTCTAAATAAAAAGTTTTACACACAAAATAAAAAAAAAATTAAAAAAAAAAAAAAAAAACTGAAAAGAAAACAAATACAAATTATTACATACATACAAATTTGTAAATGTTGCACATCCTCTTTAGCCATAAATGTATATATATATATATATGTATATACTTATGTATACATATATACATCTATAGGTTTTTTAATAGTTTGTGACAATTATTAATTTTATTACTAATTAATATTAATTTGTTTAATCGATAGCTGTAATAAATTTATAAATTTTTCTTAGGTTCTTCGAAACCTATTTTTTCGTTTCGTGATTATTACATTTTCATTTTAATTTTTTCTCTTTTTTCATATGATTATGCAAGATACTGCTAAGTTGTGTGTGCGTTCATGTAGGTGAAAGTAAATAAGTGCATTCACGTTGTAGATTACATACATTTCGTTTGCTTTTCGTCAATGAATTCACGAATTTTACGATTACGTTCTTATACAGTTTTTCTTAATGAGAGGTTAATCAATGTTTTTTTGTTATTTTTAGGCGAATTTCGTTCATGGTTTTTGCACGCGTACGTACTATGTATAATAAAATATATTGAAGAAGAGATTAACAAAAAAATTAGGCTTTTTTTTTTTTTTATTTTTATTATTCCTTTGTTTTGCTTTGTAAACAGAAGATATACATATACACATGCATATGCATATACATATATATATATATATATATGTTTGTCTAATGCATAGATAAAGAAAACATTTGGAATCGACTTTAAACGGATTCAGTGCTATTATCGTATTAAGAAATAGTATAGGATCCTACAAAGTAGAAGATTTTTAAAGGTCTAACAACAGAAATGTGTTTGTTTTTTCAATAAGTTTACATCGTTTTTATATTTTCATTCATCTGCATTGATGGAGGGAAGGCGTAGTAGTATTACATCTAAAAAAATTTTTACATCTAAAGACTTACAAGAAAACAAAAAAAAGTAACGGTTATTATTCACGTTCACATTGAAACTTTCGATATCCGCTAAGGGATTTTCTTTTTATAAATTTCGTTTGTTTTGTGTTTTGTGTTTTTTTTTTTTTATTAATAAAAATACGCTCTCTCTCTCTATCTCTCTCTCTCTATGTTAGTGAGAAACATAATATACGCTATGAGGGGTAGATTTTATATTAAAGATTTTTCTGTTACTCGATTTGTGTCGAAGCAATAAATAGGTCGACTGATTTGACTGATTTTTGATTTTATTTTAGAATGGCAGGAAAAAAAGCACAAATCTAAGGTCAGGTTCCTGTTGTCATTTCAACAGACAGACAGAGGACGATAGGCCATTAAGAATGGATAAGCATTGAGACAGATGGACAGGTGATCAAACAGACGGACGGCGGAGATATCGGTAGGCATTTTTATTACAAATACATATCTATATATATATATATATATATATACATATCTACATATATATATATATATATATTTTTTTTTATTTTCAAAAATTTGACTGACGCTTACTTATTGTACCCTTTGCGATTTGCATGAGATAAAGAAGGAGAAAGAAAATTATATAAAACAAAAAAAAAATATATCTTATTATCATTATTGTTTACATATATAAGTAAATCTTCGCTTATCGATCACATGCAAAGTATATTTTTATGTCATTGTGTTTTCTTTTCCTTTGTAAATAATTATGTAAAATTATATTAGTAGTACATGAATTATAATACAACTTTTCCCTCAAATATGTACATGGGGAGTAATCGCGGAGTAAAAAATTGAAAAAAATTAAAAAAGAATCAATTAAGTAAAAACTAAAGCAAAAGTATTCTTGTGTGTTATTACATTTTTCTTCTCGTCTTTTCTTCTTTTTTCGGTTTTTTTTTTTTGTTCTTTTTATTTATGCATTTATCTCTTTCTGCTTCATATTTACTTATATAGACATCCACAATACTATCAATTATCAGAGAATCGTATGCAGTAGACGAACTTTTGTGTTAGGTGCGAACGCGTACGCCTTTATACCGAGAAGTGCAAATGAAAGAGGAAATGATAGATAGAGAGCGTAATGTTGTTAATTTATGCCTGCATATATATATATTTTCGATCCTCTTCAAAAAAAAAAAAAGTGGGAGAGCAAATGTGTCAAACGAAATATTTTGAGCCATTGCTGTGAGAAATTTTGTAAGCTTTACGCCACCAGACGAGGATCTAAACTTTAGTTCAAACATTCGCGAAGGGAATAAATATTTTGCATTATCATCTCTTCTCTCTGCAATGATTGTGGATGTTGGCTTTACATTTGCTATCACACACACAGAGCAAATATCTTTGCTTCTGTTCGTCATGTTATTGTGCAAAAATTTCATTATCATTTAATTGTTTTGTGCTTTTCTTCTTCTTCTTCTTCTTCTTAATTTTTTTTTCGCTTTTTTTTCAATTTTAATTTTTTGTAACATACTGCTTTTTTAAATTTACTGTTTAAGGATAGAGTAATTTATTTACTATTAACTAAATTATAATCTTTCTTTTAGGTTTAAACACATTTTACAATTTTTCTTTTATTTATTTATTTTATTTGAAACTAAACTAAGGTTTTTGCTTTTTGTTTTTATTATTAATATATTTTTTTTTTTATTTTTTTTTGTGTTCCACTTATTTGATTACACTAATAAATAATTCATTTTTATTCATATAATATAAATGGCTTATAAACAATCGTTTTTAGTATTTTTCTTCTCTTCGCTACGCTTCGCTTCGCTTCGCTTCTCTTCTCTTCTCTTCTGCTTTGATGCTAATTAATTTTATAATGGAAAGCACTTTTTTTAACTCTTAATTTACAAATAATTTTTATGTTCCACCCTTTTAAAGGCGAACCAGACTTCAATGCAATTTCATCATAATGTTTCGATCGATTTTTTCGTTCTTTTAAAAAGGCAACAACAGTTTTAAATAAAAATTTTACTCAATTTTAGAATGTCATTGCACTGAATGTGACTGAGTAGCTCTCGTATTTAATCTTGCTTGCGGTAAATATTTAAAAACTAAAAATCCTTTCGAGGGAAGAAATTACTAATTATTTAAATCAAATTTCTTATGTTTGGTATTATTATTGTTTTTTTTTTTTTTTTTGCTTTTATCATAAAAGTGTTTTCAATTTGTGCAGTAGTGCAGTTTTGTCTGATGTTGGCTCTGTTTACTGCATTTGCATGCAATCGCAACGTTTACAACGTAGTTTGGATTCATATATATTCAGGTCTGATGAATATATGACTTTGTTTTATTTATTTATTTATTTATTTATTTTTTTCAAACTTTGCGTATGTAAAGCTGTAAGTCTTTTAGATTTTTTACTCGTTCAAATTACTTTTCCTATAAATTAAAAATTAATTTCAATTATTTCATTTTGTTTTGTTTTTTTCTTTTTTTGTTTTTCGTCCGCGTTACAATAATGCTCTAAAGTACAATTTCAGTTCAGTTCATAGTTTAAATGTTCTGTTTTTTTTTTTGTTTTATTTTTTACAATAAATTTTTTGTTGCTTTCTTTTTTTTTCATTTTGCTTTTTTTGTCATCACATTACAACATATAAAAAAGTAATAATTTGTGCTTTTTTCTTCTATTTGTTATATATATATATAAAATAATTCACTAAATTAGTTTTTTAAGCTTTCATTTATTTTGTGAAATAAAAGGAACAAATTTTTAGAATTCAAAAGCTTTGTTTTTTATTTGTTTTCATTGTTTATATATATTCTATGTAATTTGCAATTCATTTATTTTTTTTATTTTTTTTATTTTTTTTTTTTAGCTCATATCTAGGAATTTAGCATTTGTATAGGCTCACGGAACGAACCCCTTTACTGAACTGTAGAGCTTGTTACAGAAATCTCTTATTCGTTTTAACGGGGGAGGGGAACGAGAGAGCGAGAAAGAGAAAGAGAGAGATAATGAGGTGGGGATGGGGGAAAGAATGAGTAGACAGATAAGATAAAAAGTGGATAGACGGGCAGGAGGAAGGGAGGAAATAGGCGCGAGAGAGGAGAAGAGAAGGAGGAATAAGGTAAGCAAAAAACAGGAGCTGGAAAGAGAGAGGGCGAAGAAAGTTAAATACAATATCGAAACATGAAAATAATTTTATAAGCAAGACTCGGAGACGCTTGAAAAACATTCCGCAATTGAACTCAACTATTGGATGAATTTTGAAGGGTTTTAGAACTAAGCTGCTTTAGGTTTTGCTTATCATATTCTAGCTAACTACCATATGGCCTTCCTTTTTAAATTATTCATCGAACATCAAGTTTTTCATTTTCGCTCAACAATTTTTTTCGAAGCTAGCGGCGATACTTTAGTAATCATTTTAGAAATAGATATTGGGATTTACTATTATTGCAGAGCACTTAAGCCTTCCTGAAGTAATATAAAGTGATGTCTACAAAAATCGAATTCAAATCAAACCAGGAGAAAAATTAGAGAAAATCTGAATACAATTTGCATAAAAGGAATTATTTACGCATTCGTAAGCAATTTTTTCATCATTAAAAAATTGAAATTTTACCATCAAATTATTAATTGGTTATCTGAATTATTCTCTTTTGAAATTCATTACAGAATTATGATTGATTAATGCGTTATACAACCGTTTATTCGTAATTGCTATGATTTGGAAGATCCTGAAGATTGAAGGGCAAAATGAGTTCTAACGGTAGAAAATAAAAAGCACGAAATTTCAAAGATGACTGAATGTCAGTTTTAAAGGTCATCTTATCTATGTGAAGTAATGTGTTCAAGACCGTGCAATATGAAGAAATCAATTTGAACCAATAATATGCATCTTACCCATCTATGTGATATATGAAGAAAACTTGTCTTGAAGATTGTCTACAAATGAACCTCCATTTGTCTACAATAATGCTCTTTCATGCTTTAAATATAAATAATCAAATTCAGATTTATTTACCCATCATGTTCAATCGATATATAAAAATTCTACGGCGTTAGCTGCCTAAACGAGATAACTTTTTATGATGGCTCTGAAGCGATGACTGTGGCAGAGTGTTATAGAGAATCGTTGACCAATTCCTGAAGTAAATCGCAAGTTACACTTGTCTGACTTATTGTATTCACTTTCGAATTTGACTTGAACGATTATTAATGCTTCACTTGCCAAATCGGTTAACACCAATTTGTGAATGTTTTATGAAATTTTATTACCTTAACTGCGTGTAAGCGAAGAGCATTTCTCTTAAACAAGAATTTTACCGCTTGTGCCATTGAGCAGCATATAAAAATATATTTACATACTGTAGCGTAAATGGTTTTTTACCACAATGCACAATATTTTCACCAAATATGATGAAAAAAAAAAAACAATAAAAAAATGTAAACAAATAATTTCCATACTTTTGTCGTTTTTTCATTTTATGCAGTTCATCGGTTTTGCAAGTGAGGCATTCATGTATAAATATATATATAAAGTTGGAGTTTTGTAAATCAATTCAGAGATTTCTCGCTACTTAAGTGCAAACATATATTTATGAGAGCAACGCGAACAATTTATGGATGTTACAAGTCTAATATATATATCTATATATTTTTTTCTAAGTGATGGGTGCAATAAGAAGAGGCCAGAGTAGTAAAAAAAAGAATACTTGGATGGTTGAATTCTCTCTCAAATACGAAAAATGGGAAGAGATTCGTAATTTTACAAAATATTGGATCAATCAAAATTTAGATGATCGGACAGCTATAGCCTTGATTTAAATAACATTTGAGCATGTATCATATAATTAAATACAGAGATGATTAGTTTTTGTAAGTTATCAGATATCATTTTAACAAATCTTTGGAAAATGATTTGCATCATTTTTATTTATTTATTTATTTTGTTTACTTATTATTATTGTTATTAGTTTATTTTATTTAATTTTTTTTTTTTTTTTTTGGCAAAAACTGCTACGTATGTTTTGCTTGGCATGAGTAGCGTCCATGGTTTTTGAGCGTTTATATAGTTATTAGTGGAGTCTGTGATACATATATATATATATATATATATATATATATATATATTTATATATATCTATATATATACATATATTTGCATGCACTGATACACATACATACATATTTCCATACTAAAAAATTCACCATGATTAATATTACGTTGCACTTGCACTTTCCGTTGCTTAATATTTGTAATGCAATTTTCGTTATTTGTTATTCTTATTTTTGTCTTCTCAACACAATCGTGTTACTCTAAGGGTGTTAAGAGTAAGTAGTTTTCTATCTCTTTTTAAAATTACTAATTTTAATATAATGATTATAATG